TTTTTTTTTTACATACATGTATATAAGACTGACAAATGTTCACATTCACAGGTCAAATTAAACGCCAGGAAGAAGATTGCCAAACCTTGTATGGGTAATCGAATGAGACCAAGTAAATTTAAGGATTGCCATCACTTGTGTTTTCGGAGTTTGCAGAGATTGCCCGTTTCACAGGACGCGAGCAATTTCTGTGACTTCCGAAAACACAAGTGAAACAATGTAATTCAATCCTTAATTTTACGAGGAATCGTGTGATTTTTTTTTTTTTCATACTGTATAGACGGCAATTTGTTTTTCTTTTATCGCGCCGGCTTTGTTGGCTAATTTCGTAGGAAATCATTTCAGTGTTCGCTAGAATGAACTGTAAAACACACAAATCAGCTGAAAAGTTTTCGCCACTGATGAAAAAAAAACCAACTTGTTTTTCCATTAATCATTGGACAGGAATGGTTACAGGAACGTTTCCGTTGTCGCCTGATGACAGCTGAAAAACAATGGCGAATATATGGCCCTACAAGGTCAGGAAATTTTACTGACGTTAGTGTGCATGCTGGAGTCGGGTGACCGTGAGAATGCAGAGGAGAGCCCATAGACCATTCTTCTGGGCATTGTGTTGTAGGTCACGTGATGAGCTCTCAGCCAATGAAAAGGACAGAAAATTGCATCCAATTATACGCTGTTTTGGTGATGCTAAGGTTGACCGATATATCAGATAAGACAGATCAAGACATAATTTATACTAAGCCAAGTTTTATTAGTTTTTGTTAAGATTACTTAACTGTTACCCGTTAACTGATACGTCATCACAGTTGTCGCCTTTATCGTATGGGTGTGGCGCTGGGACCCTGAAAGGCTGAAACCTTACCCTATACTAGACAACGATCTGCTTGATTTTGCAACCCTATTCTAGACTAGGCACCAAAATCCCCTACCCTATCCCAGATTAGCTAATTTCAATGCAAAAACTTATTAATCAGTATCATAAAGTGCAGTCCAACATAAGCTAACAAATGCTGGCTAAAACAATATCTTACAAAGTCATTTTCTCTACCATAGAACCCCGGGTAAAGAACTCTGTTCCAGAGTAAATTATTTATACACTGACCACTTTTCCGGTAAATCATACTCTATTCTGGACCAAAACTGTCTGGTTTCTATATCCTATCCCAGACTAAACTGCTTGGAAACCATACCCTTCACAGCAGCATCTACTCATATAGCTTAACTTATATATGGAAGTACATTACCCCCACCCCCCGGAGTCTAAGTGTCAACCGCTAAACTGAACACTCGATGGGCGATGGTGGCTTTAGTTTAGTTTATAGATAACTTTTTCACGGACTCGGAGTAAGTAGTTTTTCTTTCAAAAGGAAAACTGTTAACGTGGCAATAACTAGTTTTTAACAGTTTGTTCTCGATGACTTGCTTTACACTCTGGCTTTTTCGTTATTCATGCATATATAGCTTGTTGGTATCGACACTAAGTAGTTGTCACTATTTAATTACCTAATCTGCTGAGCGCCTACGTCTATTGATCTAAGCCCTGATAATGGAAAGTCAAACTTTTCCTAAAACTAATCACACATCTTACCTAAAGCGGTTTTCAATCAAGAGACGTAAAACCAAAGCCCCATTAACCACTCTGGCCAATCACAAAGGACGCAGGCAATCCAGTGAACCAATCAAAACTCTATGCAAATGACTGTAACTGACCTGAAACGCGGGAAAATTAACGTGTGCGGGCTTGTCACTGCTCGATTGGTTTTGATTTTACTTCTGATTGGATGACGCGAGCGGCATGAGTTTGTTAAACCAACTCGCGTAGCGTAGTAACGCAAAACTAAATTACAATCGACACTTAAATGAAAAACGCTCTATGACCTAAACTGACGGTGACAATTACGAAACATTTCAGCACCCTGTAATCTTCCGCACCATCACTGTTCCTCTGTTTTCCGTTTTTTTATTGTTTGCTTTTTTTAAGAGAAACTTTCAATCAAGATTGGATCTGTTCCAAATGGTTGTGTTGTTTGGGTCGAGAACGTTAAGCGATCCCGGATTCTGGCCAGTTTTCTCTGAAGATACATAACTCCTCGACGACAAAAATGGAAGCATTTCTTTGGGCATGAATAAATTTTCTTCCAGAAGAACTTCACATGGAGAAATCCCTTCCCTAGAAAATAAAAACAAGTAATATAACCCTTTGATACGGTGATATTAGAGAGAATTAACCTAATCACAGATGATCTGCTTGGTTTAACAACTTTGCCTGACTACTTTATGACTGGATATTAATGATTCAGCTCAGTGCATCAGCATCTGATCCGGGCGAAAGTAGTTATTTCGAGGGATAGGAACCTCTGTAGCTTTTAGTGTCGCTCAATCACCAATGATGCTGTTACCCTCTGTGAACCTATGTGTATCCGGTATTACGTTTAGCTGAGGTAATGAGTATATAGGACCAATTTTAAGTATTCTGGCTACACCGAGTTTCGAAAACAGAACTCTGAAGTTAAAATTGGCTAAGTGCTGTAGAAAGGTCGGCGTTCTTGCATAGAGAACGCCATACCAGTCACAACTGTTTCTTCGTCTATAAAGAGTGTAAATTGCATAACTGATGAGTAAATTGTGAGGGAATTGAGGGCAAATTTTGAGGGATAACCTTGCTAGGGCTAGCCGTAGCAGAATGCCTGAGTGGAAATGGCGGAAAAATCAGTTGTTGATGGCTAAACTAGCCTCCCATCAGATAGGGTCAGTACGAAAATACTGCCGGGTGGTCACTTAATGCATGAGCTATCAACCTCGCTTTTGATTGGAACGGAAATGTTTCATAGTTACATTTTCGGTATGGCTTACCCAAAGCAACTAACAACACAGAGCTGTTAAGGAGCACAAACAGGACGTTGATAGTGATGGACTCGCTTCCTTTGTGACCTTCGCTGGCATCACGACTTGTATACATTGTACCCAGACAGACATTAAAGAAGATGATCCAAAGCACCAACGTTTGAAGTCTATCTTCAAACTTGCCTTTTATTGGCCGGAGGAAAGTGTAGGCCACTCCAAATGTGCTTACCATCACCACGGTAAAACCATTCTGCGAAAGGTTGTCAGATCCAAAGAAGAGTACTAACGAGGTCAATATCAGCTTACGGTACATCTCTATTATCTCCCAGAACCAAAACTTTTCCTTGTAACTTTCAAAGAACACTCTCAATCCAAACGAAATGTTTTCTCCAGCACTTGAATCACGAAATTTGTAGATGAGCCATAACATCACGAGAGGAAATCCCACAGGATATATGGCACAGACGACAGCGATGGACCGGTACATTCTGTGGCGGGGAGTGAAGCACTTGATGGAGTAGTCAGCCATTAGGAGGTAAGTGCAATCATTCTTGTCATCTGTGAAACATATCTCCACGCATGAGCCAGGTAGGGGTAGAATGCGAGTAATTGTGTTACTTGTTATTGGGTATAAAGCCAGTAGAAACAGGAAAATGTTTCGAAAGCATGACTTCTTTACAGCAGACATTGCTTGTGATTTTTCACTGTGTGGGCAATCTTGTCGTCCTTTGATGTAACGTAGTTTCAGGAGGAGGTACAGAAGAATTAAGAGAACAACTAAAACGTTCACAGAAAGGACCGCGGAGAATTTTTGAAATTGGTCTAGGCGTAATCCAGGAAGGATGCAACTTAATGGAGCAAACTGGAAAACGTTTCCTTGAAATACGTTGAGAAATCTTTCCACGGAAATCAAAGCTGCCGGCCAGTGAGCTCTCACCAATGCAGAGAAAATGCCTGAAACAACTTGATAAAATCCAATCACAATCTTAAAGCACGACATAATGACGTCTGCGATAGTACGACTGTTTTCTGTGGCCTGTGAGTCTCCCCACAGAACCATCATAAAGACCACGACAAAAAGGGCAATCACTCCAAGGGAAGAGAGTAGAGTGATAGACATCCTTGGACATTTCAAACAGGCATTGAATCGAAGATAATGGTCATTAGTGCAAGTGGCACATAGAGTCCCTTGGTACCCTTCATTACATTGAGAGTCAATTCCTCCCATGCAAGAGGCAACACGTGGACATTTTAAGGGCTTCGGCAGTGAATCTGTAAATTTAGAGAAGGTTTTGTTGTATTCAGGGTCCAAAGTGTAGATGTTGTCCACAAAGCGCTTGTACAACAGTTTCGTAGCAGGTTCGGTCCAGTTCCAAAAATAATTCGGCGCCAGTATTGCCACATCTTTAGCACAGTTTATACCATATGATGGACACGCTAAACAGGGTCCAAAACGATCCAGCCGGTAATACCCGCGGAGGCATCTGCAAGCTCGATAACCAGCGGTTTCATTGGATAAAGTGCCTGATTGGATGATAAAAATATACTTCATCAAAACAACAATAAATAGTTGATAGTCTGTAATCTGCATGTTCGTAGAACTAAAATAATGCTTGTAACGAAGAGCAATAATTTTACGTATCCGTTTACATTAATTGGTCCAATAAAGGATTTATTATTTGGCTTAAAGAACACATTTTCCTGCGGAAAACATCGGGCATGCAACTCCGAGCGGTCAAGAGCCATCTTGCCTGCTCGGGTAGCCAATCACAGCAAAGAATTTAGTTCATCTTGCTCGCTAGCGGAGTTAGCCATGTAATAAATCTTTGTCAATCGAACTCTTCGGGTCAAACTGTTAACAATTTATTTGAAGATCTGTCAGGCCGCAAATGATCCCGGTCCGTAAATGATCCCGGGACCGCAAATGATCCCCAAATTGTACCGCAAATGATCCCCGAATTGTACCGTAAATGATCCCTCGACCGGAAATGGTCGCCTCGCAATAAAAGGGACGAATGCATGTACCCAGGAATTTGGACAGTGGGTTAAAAGAATTAAACTGTGAAACTCGGAAAACCGTGAACACTGACTTTGATTTGTTTCTGAAAGGTTAGGAGGCGGCGTGGCCGAGTGGTTTACGGCGCTGGATTTGAAATCTGGAGGTCCCTGGTTCAAATCCTCCACCCTACCGCTATCTAGATTTGTTTCTCGGTAGCGGCCCCGAGTTCAACTCCTCGACCGCGTTGCGTAAATAGTCAACTGGTCAGTCCCCCAACCAGTTGGGATCCTTAATAGTTATGTCATTTAATAGTGCTAAATACATTTGACACTTAAATAAAGTTATCATTATTATTATTATTATTATTATTATTATTATTATTATTATTATCATTATTAATTGTGTACTAAACCAATCACAATAAAGTTCAGGACAAGCGAGAACTCAAAACCACAACTAATTACCTCTTCTGTTTGAGATTTAGTTTTCTCACGGATAATTGGCTTTTTCCTTGCTAGCTACCCAACAATATTCCACAAATATTCCTGGTTTTCCCGTTTTTCTGAGTTTCACAGTTATAGTACAAATTTAGAATCCCCAAGTGAATTGAATACATTTCCGCCTAGCTTTCGGCACAGAGGAGATTATTGACAGTCAAAAAAAAAAAGGAAATTGGAAGAACAAAAGCGACAGCTCTACTTGTATGGCATTCAAGATAGGTAAATCGTTTATAAATCTATTTTTAAAAAAAAAGCGGTAACCCGCACGAAGAACTCTTGTGCACTTTAATGGAAGCCCATGTCTATCAAGGACGCAGATATAAGAAGTGTAGAGGGAAAAGTTCTGATCGCTTAATTAGATAGCAGAGGCATCTTTGAAGATTCATGTTTATTTTTGCGGTGCGTTGCCCAAAGGAAAAAATTATACAGCCGACACATGTCAATTTGATATTTTGCGCAGCGTGTTTAACGTTTTGTATTGCTGCTTTTTTTATGCCTAAGTACTTATCTTTCCTTCACCTATGATAATTAAAAAACAAAAATATATTTCCATCCATAGACTTTTCAAAGATTCCACGCCATTCCTAACCTTTTGCGGTGGAACCGGGGGATCATTTCCCGTCCTGGGATCATTTGCAGTCCAGGAATCATTTGCGTGCCTGTACAGATCTCCGCGACTTCGGCCCAAATGGTCAGGGAACCTTTTCTCTGACGGTCCGNAAGTTTTCGCACTCGGAAAGCCATAGCAAAATCTCAAACCTTAATTATGAGTAAAGAGTTGTTTTATTTCACATATTATTAATATGAACAGAGGTTTCCTCCATACCAGAAGTATCAGGCGTATACACCTCTCTATTTTTAGATACAGGTTAACTAAGTTTCCGGGACTTTTGATAAATTGGCCCCAGGAAGTTTGCTCGTGGATGCATGACTCTAGCAGCCATATTGCACAGTACCTACCGTATGGGCATGCCCAACAGTCGGTTGCTCTTTTCCCAGGATGCCGTTTCTCTGAGACGTAAGTACCGTTGCTGCAATTTTTTTTTGCTGTTCCTCCCATTTCGTCCTGGTAAAAGCCGCCTGTACGCATATAATGATAGACTAGTTGAAGTTCAAAATGGAATTTAGGTCAAATTGATTTCAAACTAGTTTGATTTGTATTTTGCTTTATTAATCCGGGCCTCTATTTTAAAGTCAGTCCCAAATCAGTGAAAATTTACGAAGAGATTCCATGTTGCCGTGCGTCTGTTCAGTAATAGATCACAGAAGCTGTCAAAATCTAGTAAGGACACCAGTGACACACTCGTCTAACAGCTCGTGTGCCACTTTTTTTTTTGTTCAGTACCACATTTCAACGTCATCTGTAATCTGTTACTGAACAGTCGCGCGGCAACATGGAATATGTGTTGATTTCATCATGCACGCCCCACAGCATCTGCACGATTTGGGTATTTTTATCTACAAACTGGTTGACGTGATTTAGTACACGAAAAGTATATCTTTCCTTTATCATTTTTTTCTATTTCTGTAAAGCTATTGAATGCTAGATACTTGCTCCAGTGCAACATAATCTTGCTGACTTTTTTCAGGTTTCATTTGTATTACGTACCAATAATTTTATACCTATAGGTTACAATGTACCTGCTGGGCATTTCACACAAGTTCCCTTTTTGTCACTGTAGGACCCAGGCGAACAAAAGCTGCAGTTATAGCGCTCGACGCCAGAAGAACACGGAACACAAGATAGACCGCTCAGAAGCAGCAGGTCATGCAGTGCTACAAACTCTACTGTTATATAAGATGACCCGGACGGGGCACAGTCACTAGTGGATAGAAAAACACTGAAGTTACGCCACTTATACGAGGATCTGGAGGGGATTAAATGCAAGCTGAGAACTACGGGTCAAAATTTTAACTGTTATCTGAGTTGTCAACTGCTAGCTGGAACCTGAGATCTCCAAAATATACTAGTAGCTAAGAACTGGGCTGAAAATTTAACGCATGGCTAGAAAATGGCCGATAAATGATCATAATTTAGCCTAAAAAAGATAGTTAATCAAAGTTTAAAGGCAAAACGCAAAAGCGATTAAGGCCGCGTCCTATGTATAGTAAAAGAAGGTGGTGAAAGGGTTTATGCGTGACACATGACGAGGACAAAAATTAGTGTTTGACGTGTGAATTGCGAATAAATCAGTGCGTAAAACGGCATGACATCCCCCCGCCTCACTTGCTACCCTCCTATAATGTTCTACACCTTCGCCATTAATTTAGGGTTAGTGTTTCGGAGTCTGAACATGGACGTGGTCGAGATCGTCGTTTTGTGTTATTGATGAGACGTGATTAATTTCACAGTGCCTTTCTCCAAGTACATGTGCCTCAGGAAATTGTTGGAGCAGCCTGACAAGACTCTGGGTGATAAACTGATGGAATAGCTTTAATATTGAACATATTCAAATATCATTGCATCGGTATATACATCTGTTACATATACTTACATATTGACACTATATGTTCCTGCTGGAATCTGCTGAAAGTTTTTACATGTTGCAAACCTAAAAGAAAATGCGTTTTAACTCTTGCGAATTTATTCAAAGACTACTAAAAAGTATTGTTATTGTGTTAGTAATTAATAGTTTAAAGTCAGTCTGCCTCCGCAGTGAAGAATATATTCAAAGTAACTGATTCAAAATTTTTCGTCAAGGAGTTGAATTGCCTTTTAGATACGAAATATTTCATGTTATTTGCGTTCGCAATGTCGTTGTGATTCCCTTGAGAAGATTCCCATGTGAAAAGGCTGGGGATACTCATCGGAAAATTTGAATTAAACCCGTAAAGGAGACCAAACTGGGTGTGGTTCGAGCTTTTTTTGACCCCTTAAAGATATCACTTTTCAATTGACATGACAGCACTTTCTATTGTTTCTTCGAATGCAGCCCTAAAAGGCACTTTGACGCCTAAAAAAAGTATTTTCGTTTCTTCCGAAATGCACTAAGTGAGGCCAAAATCTGTGAAATACACCACCCAAGCATCTCTGACCTTTTCACTGAGAGACCCCCCGGGCAGGGGGGCTTGAATTACGTGACTAAAAAAGTCCACCGCAAGAAGCCACTCCATGGCAATTGTCAGTGAGCTTACATAATAAACAGTCTGGTTAAAATGCTAGAATATATCTGTCACTAGCCACCTCCACTAGCTACGGGGAATAATGTTAAATAAACGCAGCTTATTAACGCGCATACGCGGGGACTCCGATCCTACCTCGCCAGACTTTGGGAAAAAACCATGCGGTCTCAAGCAGTCAATCAAATTAAGTGTCATTGTCAGAGAAAACCGGGCAGTACAAAAAGATCGAGGTCGGCCGTTTACCTTCATCTTTTCACAGTACAAAAGCTATCCGAAAAGATTAACAACCATGACATTTGCCGAGGTAAGCGTTCGCTTTTCTTCGAGATATCACCACATCATGATTTTGGGCTCTGAAGCGGTCGAAAATGGCCGAAATTTCGGGCAACTTTAGGTAAGCCTAAAAGATACTTCGTACAAATTCCAGAAACTCTTATTTTCGTGCGATAATATTTGTCCCTTTATTAGTTGACTGAGATGTATTTGAGGTCTTTCGCTTTAGTTCGACGGTTTTTACGAGGTGCCAAATATCGCCTCCGAATCAGTTATGAGAGTGACTCAAATTTTAGCCATTTTCAGCGAGTCGTTTTTCAAAAGTGCGGGAGTTTATTTCCACAGAAAAACAATTTTGTGATAGTCTCTTGCACTGTTATCAATATCCAGTTTAGTTAAAATTGGTATCTACAGGCAAATCGGAGTAATTGGTCTCGCAAAGTCCAAAAAAAATTATTGGTCAGAAATATTTCCCGCCAAATATTTAGCAAAGAAAACACCTTATTCCGACTTTCTGCGATTTTTATCCATGATTTACTGAAAGATCTGCAAAAAAATAGTTAGCTGGACTGCCGAAGAGAATTTTGTATTGTAATTATTTCATAAATTGTGAGTACAAATAAATGGTTGTTGTTGTTGTTGTTGTTGTTGTTGTTGTTTAAGCTGTGACATCGTTGTTAACCTAAGCAAACATTTCAAACTCGCCAAATCCTTACCATGTCCACTGCGCGCCTGGGCTAAATTTTCCCGCGAAAATCTATTTTTAACGTCACGCTGCATGGAAAAACAAAGTGGATCCTCAGTTCGATGGTCTTTTTTTGCTGTTCTGTAGAACAAACTGCAAGTTAATAGTGAGCGAACCTTTACCCTAAATTTAATTTTGGGACTTCTGCAAACCCTCTTGTTTACATTTATTTCTCGTTTTCGAAAGGCGTGACGCGTTACAGATTCAAAGGTCAGACGATTGGACTTCGAAATGTCGATCTTACTTAAAGGCTTCTCCTTGTTTTTGAAAACATTAAC